TTGGAACAGACTCCTTCCAGAATATTACTTCATATTTCAAGATATGTCCCCAAATTCTTTGATTCCCTTTCATTCAAGAGGTGAAGCCTCACTCTCCTCCTCATGATGTGCATTTGACTTAGTGACTCCTAACAAAACGAATGAACCAGAAGTGATGGTATCTGACCTTGGAGACCAAGTCACAATAGGGACTGTAGTTCCTTCTTGCTCTCTGGGGAAAGAAACTATGCCATGCCATGAGGGCACTCACGCAGCCTCTGGAGAAGGCCAAGGGGCGAGGGGCTGAGGCCTCCTGCTAACAGCCATGTCTCTCCTCCTCATGATGTGCATTTGACTTAGTGACTCACTTCTAACAAAACGAATGAACCAGAAGTGATGGTATCTGACCTTGGAGACCAAGTCACAATAGGGACTGTAGTTCCTTCTTGCTCTCTGGGGAAAGAAACTATGCCATGCCATGAGGGCACTCACGCAGCCTCTGGAGAAGGCCAAGGGGCGAGGGGCTGAGGCCTCCTGCTAACAGCCATGTGAGTGCCCCACCTGGGGCATGGATCCTTGGCCTAGTCAAGGCTTCAGATGCCTGAGGCCCCTGTTGACATCCTGACTGCCAACTGACAGGAAGCCCTGGAGCCAGACCCACCCCACTCAGCCACGCTGAAGTTCATGATGCACAGACTATGAGATAACAAATGTTCGCAGTTTTAAGCCACTTAATTCTGGGGGAATTTGTTACTCAGCAATGCATTACTAATACACTCTCCAAGAACCTTCTGTTGTATTGCCCTTCTTGTCATAATCACCGTTAGGCATAGCATATATATATATATATATTTGAGAGGGAGAGAACATCAATTTGTTGATTTGTTGTTCCTCTCATTGATGCATTCATTTGGTTGATTCTCTTATGTGCCCTGACCAGGGATCAAACCTGCAACCTTGGTGTATCAGGACTAAGCTCTTACCAACTGAGCTACCTGGCCATAGCTAGGCATAGCTCTTTGGGGGTTTGAGCTTGGGCTTAGAGAGGCCTGCCATGATCCTTCATCCTTATAATTTGTGCAACATTTAAAGCATATACACAGGCCTCACCCTCTAGAAATCTTACTCAACAGATGGGGTCAAGCATCTGTATTTAATTAAATGATTTTTTTAAAAAATGATTCAAGGGTTTTGAAGAATGCTTTTGAGTAAGAACTTGTGCTTTTTTTCATTATAAAAAGCCACAGGCCTCTCTATTCTGTGTCCTCCATGTTCTTTGAGACTGAATGGGAGGAGGTTGCCTCACTTTTCAGTATAGCCACTTCAGACACTGGGAACCCAGCAAACAAACAAGCTCAGTGCTTTTCCTATGAACCCATGAGCAGCCTTCTCTAGCCTGAATTAAATGATTTTTTTAAAAAATGATTCAAGGGTTTTGAAGAATGCTTTTGAGTAAGAACTTGTGCTTTTTTCACTATAAAAAGCCACAGGCCTCTCTATTCTGTGCCCTCCATGTTCTTTGAGACTGAATGGGAGGAGGTCGCCTCACTTTTCAGTATAGCCACTTCAGACACTGGGAACCCAGCAAACAAACAAGCTCAGTGCTTTTCCTATGAACCCATGAGCAGCCTTCTCTAGCCTGAATTGCAGCAGATTTACCTGAAGGCTGATTGCGAGGCCTCACCCCTGGAATTCCTAATGCAGTGGGTCCAGCATGGAGACATTTCTAGTCAGTTCCCAGGTGATGCTGTTGCTTCCACGGATGGTCTATGACCACACTCAGAACCACCACTGAAAAGCACTGGGCCTGGTGTGTAAAATCTGCCTCAGAAATTGCCCAGATCCTCACTATACTGCAAGCCACAATAACAAATAAAGACAAACAAACAAAATCTCATTCATTTTGCCTGAGACAAAAGTAATCCACAGTGACAGAAATCCTAGTGGTGCTTATTTGGGGCCATAACAACTGGAAAGGGAATGTAAACGGACCTTCGGGGATGCTTGGAACATTCTAGTTCTTGATCTGAGTGGTGGTTCCACCAAGGTGTTCCCTTTGCAAAAATCCATTTGAGCTGTACACGATAATTTGGGCACTTGTCTATGTTATACTTAAAATCTTCCTTAAAATTAATAGTAATGATAAATGCTGTCGAAAACCTGGGCCTCCTCTTCACTTTACCTCTGTTTACAAGTTGGCTTTCCCCCAGGGGTACGCTGGCAACCCAACAAAGAAAATATTTTTTTTCTTTTTTGCTCACATCAGTTGTTTATGTATGTGTCTGTGGGTGATAGCTGGGGAGTGGCTGCTTCCCAAGCCATCTTTTTTTTTTTTAATTCCTCACCTGAGGACATGCCAAGAGAGAGGAAGGGAGCGAGAAGGGGAAGAGAGAGAGAGAGAAAAGGGGACAGAGAGAGAAACATTGATGTGAAAGAAACATCAATCAGTTGCGTTTCATGCGTGCTCCAACTGGGGCTCAAACCCGCAACCCAGATATGTGCCCTGACCAGGAATTGAACTGGCAACCCTTCAGTGCACAGTATGATGCTCAACCAACTGAGCCTCTCTGGCCAGGCCCAAGCTATCATTTCTTTACAAACAAATCTGGGTTTTCTAAAGAAAATATTGTAAAAGAAATATTTGCCTGTTTTAAATTTCTAGAACAATAGATATTGATGGAATAATTTGAAAAGCACGTTGAGCTCCCATTAATGCTTCTCGAGAATCCATTTGTGTTTGGCCATGCAACTTGACCAACAAGTAAGAACTTCCGGAGGGAAGGAAAACAGCCTAGATTAACAGCCCATTCCTTTGAAAAGTGCCTAAGAGGCATGGCCTTTTTTTCCTTTGGATGAGGACAAATGCCACCTAAAGAATCCCGTTTCATTACATCAAGCTTTTAGGGTCTCAATGAGGAGGCTTGTTTTGTAAATTTCTTACCAAGAAAACAAAAAAAGACTAATTATTGCTAAAACTCCCCCCAGAGACATTTCACTTTCTGCATCATTCCTTTCCTCCCCTTTAAGTTTATGAGTAAGACGGTCTACTCACTCTAAAAGGTTGGCTTCAAATGTAAACGAGTCCAGGTAACTTGGGACTTGTGATTTTCAGGTTATCTGCAGAATTGTTATTTTGGAGCTCAGGAGCTAAGTAGGACACGTTGGGACACGTTTGCTGGTACTGACTTCACAGCTGTGGAGGACAGTGGCAGCTCTCCTACTGGAGGTCCTCCAGTCTAAAGGAGACACTGTGACACTGTAGTTCATCCAGGAGCTTTTGAGCCTAACCAGTGTCACCAACTGTGTGGCCTTGGGTAAACAACTTCTTTCTCTCTCCCTCCAAATTTCAGTTTTTCCTTCTGTTAAATGGGAATAATAATGTCAGTCAGAAGGCTACTAGGAAAATTACATAAAATAATATAAAAATATTTAAACTTTGCCTGGCACATAATAAATACTCAATGAGCCTAATTATTAAGGGATGAAAGGAAATTAATAAATGGACCATTCCATTCAGTGTCAAATTTCCTAATCCCTGTATCTTTCTAATGCAAACATGAATGAATCAATGGTATTAAAAGACAGATATACATGGATGAATAAAATTTTTTTCTCTGCAAAAATTATCTAAAAATTATAGATGTGGAGAACACGTTCCTGGTTGTCAGGGGTTTGGGATGGTGGGAGTGAGGGGAATACTTGTCGCTGGAGGGAGAGCTTTGTGGTGATGAACTAGTCTTGTTCCTTGACCATGGTGGTGGTTACAAGAATCTGCACATCACAGAATACCATAGACCCATACACTTAGATTGCATCAGGTCAGTCTCCTGGCTCTGGTATCCTATATAATAAAAGGCAAATATGCAAATCAACCAAACGGCAGAACGACTGGTCGCTATGATGCGCACTGACCATCAGGGGGCAGATGCTCAATGCAGGAGCTGCCCCCTGGTGGTCAGTGTGCTCACACAGGGGTAGCGCCGCTCAGCCAGAAGCCCTGAGCTGGGCTCATTGCTGGCGAGTGCAGCGGTGGAGGTGGTGGGAGCCTCTCCTGCCTCTGTGGCAGTTGGACATCCCCCGAGGGCTCATGGACTGCGAGAGGGCACAGGCCGGGCTAAGGAACCCCCCAAGTGCACGAATTTCATGCACTGGGCCTCTAGTTGTATTATAAAATACAGGCATGTGACATAAAATATAACCATGATCTGAGAAACTGGGTGAAAGGGTATACCCAAACCTTTACACTATTTTTGCTACACCATGTTAATCTATAAGTACTTCAAAATAAACAATTACACACAAAAAGTACCTGAATAGAATTTCCTCCTTTTACCGCAATTACAGTATTCAGGTCTCTCACTCTGTATCTCATGTAAACCAGTTGGAGTTCTGGCTTAAGCTTTGGTGTTTGACTTTAAAGGTTAACATTCTCAGTGCATATATCTTCCCATTGTTATCCCTTTCCAGGCCATCTCGATCCTTCATTACACAGGATTTAGTGGTGGTTAAATGTGCCACAGGCAGGATTCTTAAAGAATACAAAGTTTAATCATCATTGATTCTAAAATATTCACAATTAACTCTGAGCAGTAGATTCAGTATGTGGCTAGATATTTCCATCTGTTTTCTGCCAGCAGCAGCAAGGATATGAGTATGTGATTAAAATACTCTGTGGGCTGAGAGGTAAGGCAAATTAATATCAGTTCATAGTTTAGAAGTCTTGAAATGAAACTACTAATCAGCCAATCAGCTCTATAAGAGGAAAACCAGACATCCTTAATTCAGGTGATGTGGTGGTTGGATGGCTAGTGCCTGCACTAATTAATGCCTGGGTCCTTACTAAATGTTTGTGGATGAATGAGTGAGTGAGTAAATGAATGATGGGACCATTATGATAAACCATGTGAAACTGATCAAGTCTAAAGGTAAGAGTAAAGAATTCATTAAACTTTGTGGCCCAGGATTGGAGGAAGCATGATCTGCCAGAAAACCTTCTAACCCTTCTCTCTTTGCTTCTCTAGGCAGCTTGAAATCCACTCTCCAGATGCTAAGCACACGGTGATCCTAAGGGGCAAGGACTCAGCCACTGCCCAGGCCTGGTTCAGTGCCATCCACTCCAACGTCAGTGACCTGCTGACCCGAGTGATTGCCGAGGTCAGAGAGCAACTGGGGAAAACAGGCATTGCTGGCAGCCGAGAGATCAGGCACCTTGGCTGGCTTGCAGAAAAGGTAAGGAAAATGCCGACAACTCCCCCTCCCCCGTCCCCCTCCCCCCAGCTTGCCCCATCATCATCATTTCCCCCAAGGCGTGCCCAGCACTTGTGGCAACCACTGAAATCAGTTCTCATTCCATAGGCTGATTATCTCAGTCACAGTCTGTTTAGATTTCATGTTGGTATACAACAGGTCTGCATTTGCATTTTACAGGGTCTGTGTCTTAATCAACTTTGATTTCCCACATATACTCCAGTAAATATGTGGTCAGCTGAATGGATGAATGAGTGAGCAAATGGAAGGATAGGTTGATTCTCACATCTACACATGAAGGGCAGGGAAAATAAACTCACAACAGAGCTGTTGCCTTGGGAGGTAAGGAAGTTGAAACTGTTGCTTAAAAGGGTTTGTGTGACTTTTGCTGAACCTGCTTATCAACAATGCAGATACATTTACAAATAATAGCAATAATAATATCACCCAGGTTGTCTTGAGCAGCGACTGCATGATGACTCTTTTCATATATTATCTTATATTTTATCTGTATTCTTAAGCCAGCAGACCCTGAAAGTCATCACTTATGAGCACCTCTTTTGTGGAAGGCATGGTGTTAGGCAGGAATGGTGGGTGTATAAACAAAGGCTTGGTCTCTGTTCTTAGGGAGTAGAGCAGCTGTGGGAAGGACCTGGGGCCATGTTAACGCTGTCACTCTGATTTCTTTTCCCAAGCTATGTGATATGTGGAAGATAGTAAAACTCACTTTGCGGTGATCTCCTGGGAGTTAGCCCTTCTGTTCATTTCAAAGCATTGAGCCTTTGCCATTGTCCCTATACCTGATTGCTGTCCCTTGAACTTGACCTTGAGTGCTCAGGAACACTGAGCTTTTGGGACAGCTTGACCTCCCAGTGACTCACATTCTAATAGGCGGTAAATGGGAATAATGATTGTCACAATAACAGCTTTCCTGCCAGGGAACCATGTCATCTGAGAAGCCCCAGTCAAATGGCACTTGAAAATAATACTTGAACACAAGTTCGGCTGTTTTCCACCATTGTTCTTTGTTTGTACCAGTTCATGCGTGGGGCTCAGCCACACAGTTCAACACTCAGTGAACTGTTTGGTTTGATATTGTCCCATCTCTCACAGATTTCAAAGGACTAAAGGGACAGTGCAGGTTGTAGGAGCTCTGAAATCATAAACAGAAACCACACATTTCTCCTTAGACTAGGGACAGTGCAGGTTGTAGGAGCTCTGAAATCATAAAAAACAGAAACCACACATTTCTCCTTAGACTATCTTCTAAGTAACTGAGGTGGTCTCAACTCTCAAAGATCTTTTTCTTTCATCTCTTTCAATGTAAAATACATTTAAAATCATTACCGTTTGGATAGTTGAAAATTGTATTGGGTCAATAGCCTCTCATGACTTTTAATGTCAAGGTTATTGAGGAAGACGACACTACCCATCTGGATGGTGTCATTTTAGAAGTCACAGTCTATAGCCCTCTCTACTTTGTACTCTCTCCAAATATGTGCGTTTTCATTAAAGAAGGCCTGTTAGGGATCTTTCATTGTCAAGTGACAGAAAGCTCAACTCAGCTTGAGCATTATACTTACAATGTCTACGGGGAAACGTCAGGCATGGTCGGATCCAGGGGTTCCGATAATGATAGGCTCTCCCCTCCATCTCTTTGCACCCTTTTCTACTTTGTTGGTTTATACTCAGGCCTGCCCTCTTCCTTGGCCTGACCGTTCCAGATTGTGTTTTTCCTCACAGTTGGCCATCGCAAGTAAATAGAGGCCTCTTTTCCCCCATAGTTCCAACAGAAGTTCTTATTATAAGCCTAATTGGACTGACTTAGATTGTATGATTAGCCCTGGGTTGGGGCTGAGATCAGCCTCATTCAAGCCTGTGTACTGAGCGATGAGGAGAGGCGATTCGCTCATGGAAAATGAGGCTGCTGTGCAAGGAATGAACTAAACCGATTCTGGGAAAGCAAAAGCAACAGACATTTCACTACAGAAGAAAAAGGCCAGGAGTTGATTGGAAAGAAAAATGTTCTACCTTGTTTCAGGTCTTGAGTCCTTGGAGATGTACCGTATGTTTCAGAATTCTGGCAGAAGTTAAATGACAAACTCAAAAGGGATGATTGGAAAAGACTTATTGCAGGAATAACTTATAAGGTGTGGCCAAGGTAAGGGGAACCAATAAGAGACGGAGAAGTACCCCAGAGATAACAATAGCAAGAGGTCACTACTACCCTTTACCCTGAAATGGCCAGGAAAAGGAGCAGTTACCTGAAACCAGCAAGAATTAAATAGCTGTAGAAAAGGATCACCCACTAAGAACTGTGGTCTTTGCGAGAGAAACAGCACCCTGGCAACCTCTGCCCGCTGATCTTTCACTGGTGTCTCCCACTGACTGAAGCTGACTGGAAGCCAGAGGCATGGGGGCCCCATTGATGTACTATAAAGGTCAGCTCAGAGGGCACAGAGCAGGGTGGGAAGGGGGAGAGCCTGGATTTGGGGGCCAAGGGTGGTTGTCCAGAACACACATTTTTCCTTAGACCACCTTCTAAGTAACTGAGGTGGTCTCAACTCTCAAAGATCTTTTTCTTTCATCTCTTTCAATGTAAAATACATTTAAAATCATTACTGTTTGGATAGTTGAAAATTGTGTTGGGTCAATATTAATGATATTGAAAATTTGTCCTTAGGTTCCATTTTCTCACTTATAAATGATCTGCTATTCCTTTTGCTCATCCCAAATTATCAGTAGAGACATTATTTGGCATTTCCAGGTGCAGTAATAAAGGTGCATAAAAAGCTCTTCCTGTTTTTAGAATATTTCTTTTCTTTTGATATCGTTTCAGTTAATCATTACTAGATGTTTCTTTAAATTGTATTATGCATTGTATCCATAAAAGAAATAATAACTTATCATAGACAGTTATCAGAAGCAAGACTATCTTTTATTGCCTTCACCTTCAAAACTTCTCAAACAGTTACCACAGATCAAGTCTGCGGGAACCAACTCAAACTAGAATTTTTTTCTGAATAAACATTTAATACTGAATCCTAGTGTGGAGACATATGAGTGTTTTTTAGCAAAATGTTGCAATGAATGGCAAACCCTCAATACTGTGACTTTCTTATATTATCACAAATATCAGCAAATTTGCTTGGTATTTAGAAAAAATATAAAGTATGATCCTATACTTCAGCTGCAGTTTACCGTAAGTTGATGTCCTTTGTCTTTTCCTATACTGTTAACCTTTGCTTTTATAACAGTAGCTATGGAACAAGATTTGTACATATTATATTTAATTTTGAGCTTTTAGAACTGGCATTTACATGAACTAAAATGATATGAAACAACAACTTCTATTGAAATCCTATTAAGTACAAATCCTAAAACCTTATCTATACTACACAGGGGGAAACTTTTTATTAGCATTATTCTTCTCTGTGAGATGGTCTGGGGACTGGAAGAATGGCTCCCGCAAAATGGCTAGTTCTTGAGTCAACAGAGAGAGTTCAGTGCACTCCAAGGGAGGACAAGGAGCAGGAGGGGGGGAAAAGTGAAAGTAATGGATTAATATAGCTCATAGGGAAGGCAGGCCATAGACTTGTCTAAAGGGAAGTGATGGTTCATTCAGGAGGAAGGTGACAAGCAAGTCTAGCATCTTAGATGACATCCACTTATGGAAGATTTTGAAAGCTGGACAGATGGTTTGATTTTGATTTGGTGGCCAGTAGGGAACCTACATATGCAAAAGCAGAGAGAAGGAAACTTAGGGGTGATTGCTATGGGTGGAGTGTTCGTGTCCCCCAAGACCCACATGTTGAAGTCCTAATCCTTAATGTGATGGTATTTAGAGGTGAGGTCTTTGGGAGGTAATTAGATTTAGATGAAGTCATAAGAGTAAAGTGCCCATAATGGGATTGGTGCCCTTATAGGGAATGAAGAGACCAGAGCGCTCTCTGTCCACCATATAAGGATACAACAAGAGGGTAGCTTTCTACAAACCAGGAAGGGAACCCTCACAAGGATCCATGTTAGACTTCAAGCCTCCAAAATTGTGAGAAATAAATTTTTGTTGTTTAAGCCACCCAGTCTATGTTAATCTGCTATTGCAACCTGAACTAAGGCAGTGACTTAACCCAACCTCTTCTCTCTAAAAAGAAGAAATCTGGGCCCAGAGGATGAAGGCACTTTATCTAAAGTTATACTCTAAATAAAAATACAGAAATAATTAGAGAGAGGGACCACGCTGTGATATCATTATTCCTTTTCTTTAACTCAAAAGAATTTCCTGGAGCTCATTCACTGCAATGTTTTATTCTTTCCTTGAACTCTAGTAGCTGTTCTCTGCACTCCCTACAGTATCAAGGTCAGTGTTGGGCTAGTTGCCTTTGAACTGGGGCCATATTCCTGTCTTTGACTTCCTGGTTCTGTCAACTACACACAGTGATGTGTCCTGTACTGCTTTCTCCTGTCACTGCCCTCACTATAGAAGGGCCAGGTGCCCAATATAAAGTCTTCCCCATTAACATCCCTGATCTGTAATCCCTACCCTGAATTATTAAATACAGCATGTCTCAAACACAGTTTTTATCATTGTCCTTAATTTAATCTTTTTACAGTTACCATTAAGTTGTTTAAACTGTCTGGGTACAGAAAAAAGAAAGATAAATGAAGCCCTGACTCTCTTGCTACCTAGAAAAATAATAAACAGGGACATGGCAGAATTGCTGGATTGGTTTGTGATTGGTTCATCAGGCATTGCCTTTGCTTAACCTTGTTATCTCAACTTGCAAACTATTTCTTGTCAGAGTAAAAGCACAACACCACAAAACAATAAAAACCAGTTGGAAGCTCTGAGATGCAAGTTCAGTTCTCAGCTTTCCTCATATCTACTTCAGATTCTTTCAAAGGAGAGCATTTATATCACTGTGCCTATGAGGATATTCTTGGAGGAAAGGAAGCTGGTAATTAGTATTTATGATGTGCCT